CGTCCATCCCCTGTGTTTTTGTTCGGCTTCGTGCGAGGCTTTTTTCGCCAAATGATCAAGGATACTCCTCGATGTTCCTCGCCGAATGGAAAATGCACACGTCCGAGCGATGCCAAGAAAATCTCGAACCAACCCCTCCCTTCCTGCTGGCCAGAGCCAGTGCTGGGCCGCCTCAGGTCCCCAGCGGGCTCCAACTCCGAAGGGCCTCCGAGGGGCCTCCCAGGGGCACAAGGGCCTCCGAGATGCCCCCCGAAGGCCTGCGGCGGGCCTCCGAGGGGCCTCCGCAGGCCTCCGAGGGGCCTCCGAGGGGCCTCTGAGGGGCCTCCGAGGGGCCGCCGAGGGGCCTCCCGGCCGATCCACATCCGACCAGAGGGCGTCGGCACGGCACGGCTCGCGGGCTCGCCGGCGGCTCTCGGGAGCCCGCCCGTGCTCCTGGCACGCATCGCTGGGCGGAGGTCGACGAAAAGCTAGGCAAAAAATGCCCCCAAACTAAGAATAAGAAACTACGCAACAAATGCCCCAACACTAAAAGCACTCGAAAAATGCCAAGAAAAAAGTCACTGAAGACTGAGAGTACTCAAAACACACCCCATGCCGATTCTAGAGGAAAAGCTAAGAGTACTCAAAACATACCTGGGGGAACAGAAAGTGGCATAAGCATAAAAACGCGGAGGTCCGCGCGGAGTTCTCGGATCGGCGCTGGGGCCCCCCTCCCTGGCGCGCGGAGCGCGCCAGGAGCGGCGCCGGAGGCGCCGCTGGGGGGCCCCAGCGCCGATCCGAGAAATCCGCGCGGAACTCCGAGTTTTTATGTTTATGTCACTTTTGTTCCCCCCAAAAAACCCCGGGTCGATTCTAGACGAAAAATCCCCCCAGATAGGCAGCAACACATGGTCGAACAAATCGTCCCTGTTCTATTGTTTTGCTATTTTGGGATATTCCTCCTATAGAGGGACAGGTCCGACTTAACACTGGGCCCAGCTAACGCGAGTGTGCGGGGTGTGATCACCCGGTGCCATGATTGTGTCTGTGGGTTCCGAGCTGCCGACTGACAGTCCGACCGCCTGTAGCAGAATGCCTGGAAGGCGAGGGAGTTGCTCGGAGCCGTGATGCGTGAAGAGAGGGAGCAGAGCGGCCTAAATCAGGTATGGCGGAAGATGGGAGCCAGAGGGGTAGACCATCAGGGGCGTGCGATGTCATCGCGCTGCCGCCTCGCTCGCCGAGAGCCCTCTCAGTTCTCTCCAGCTGGAGGCTCCTCTGGCGAGCTGCCGTCCGGCTCGGCCGATGGCACCTCGCCCGTGGTGGCCTCGGGGGGCTCCCCGGCGGGAGGTCCTGGCCCGCGGCGGCGCTCGGCCTTCTCGCCTCCTCCCTGGGTCGTCTTGGGCTTGACGTCCGCCGACGCAGCCCCCTCGTCGCCCTCGTCGTCGCACTGCCCTCGCCCGCGAGGCTGGCGTGCCCGAGGGGCCCCGGCTGGAGCCAGAGGTAGCCCTCCGACAGTGAATCCGCACCTTCCTGGGCAGATTGGGGCTATCGGGCCCCTATCGGAGATCAATGGGCGGTTGGGGGTCGATGCATCCCCCCCTATGCCTCCTCCTCCTCCTCCTCCTCCTCCTCCTCCTCCTCCTCCTCCTCCTCCTCCTCCTCTTCCTCCTCCTCCCCTCCTCCCCCTCCCCCTCCCCCTCCTGCTGCCCATCCCCCCCCTATCGTCGCCCCTGCAGCCCGAGCTCCGAGGGCGCCCGGCGGGGCGCCGCCTGGCCGCCGCGGCGCCGAGGCCCGCGGCGCAGGCGGCCGCCCCGCAGGCCAGGGGCGCGAGCGCGGCGAGCGCCGCCTGGCCGCCGCGGCGCCCGCCAGCCCTCGGGCCCCCTCGCGCCTCCCTCCTCGCGCCTCGTGCCTCGCTCCTCGCTCCTCGCTCCTCGCTCCTCGCTCCTCGCTCCTCCTCCTCGATATCCTCCTCCTCCTTCCCTCCTCCTCCTCCTCCTCCTCCTCCTCCCCTCCCTTGCCTCCTCCTGCCTCCTCCCCCTCCTCCTCCTCCTCCGCCTTCCCCTTTTCTCCTCCTAACCTCCTCCTCCTTTTCTTCCTCCTCCTCCTCCTCCTCCTCCTCCTCCTCCTCCTCTTCCTTTTTCCAATGGCTCTCTCTTCACTCCTCCAATCCATGACCGGAGGGGCTGCTGCGGGGAGTCACACTGCTGAGTGGCCCCCCCCCCATCACCTGGACGACGGAGCCGCAAGGGCCAGGAGCCGCCTTTCAGGGACAGGAGGGGGCACCCCAGCAGTCAAACGCCGAGGATAAAACACAATTCAAAGGTGCTCTAATCTGGCCCACCATTCCCCTCCCTCGCTCGGGAGGTGGAGGGGCCAGGGACTGGAGACATGTTGACCCTCGGGCCATGGAAGCTTGCCCCACAGAAGCTGCTTCCTCTGAGCTGAAAACGCCTTGGTGCACTTCTGGGCCAGGCGCCTTGGCTGCCCCGACGTGTACGAACCACACCTCATGCAGAACAAGATTTGAAGATTTGTCTCCAAGACCCTGCTGACATATAACTTGTGCGGCCTATCGAGCTCAACCTCCGCCAATTTACGAAAGGACGGGCTGAGGGCCGCACATCTGCCGACTGGATTGTGCCTACGGAAACACCTGGCGCACGAGACGCACCGCCAACGATTACCGTTCCAAAGCACTCGATGAGACCAGCTGCTGGGAACCCTCCTTCTCCTGACTCTTCCTCCTCCTCCTCCTCCTCCTCCTCCTCCTCCTCCTCCTCCTCCTCCTCCTCACCCCCCTGCTGCTCCTTATTTTCTCCCCCTGCTCTTCCTGCTCCTCCTCCTTCTCCTCCTTCTCCTCCTCCTCCTCCTGCTGCTCTTTCTCCTCCTCCTCCTCCTGCTCCTCCTGTTTTCCTTGCCCTTCTGCAGAATATCTCCGTGTCGCACCCCGAGGCCAATCGGAAGGGCGGGCCAAGCGTTTGCCCTGAGACTTTCTTGCCATGTCTGATCCTAGAGCTTGAAAGCTGGCAATATTTTTACAGATGGAGGGAGGACCGCTTCCAAAATGTGGCTCTAGCCCCAGCGCCTCACAAAGTCGTTTCAAACATATTATAAGAACTTCGCAGATTGAGGGCGGATGTTTTTCAACATGTGGTTATCGCCTCAGCGCCGCGCACATCCGCCTTAGAGCATTTCGCGAGATTCACAGATGGAGAACAGTTCTTCGTCAAACTGTGGCTCTCGCGCCGCGCACATTCGTCTGAAACAAGTAGCTGAGACCTACGGGATCGCATGGCTCACGTACCAGAATTTGCGTTGCGGAGCGTTTAGGACTGTTAGGTCGCAACAATAACGTTGGTTCGCGATGCTGAAATCCCAGGAGTGGTCTTCTGCCACGATTCAGGACCGTCAGTAGGCAACAATCATGTTGGCTCGTGGCGCTCAAATCATGAGGATGGTGTTTTGGCACGCTTCAGGATTCAGGATCTTCAAACGGTTGTCTCCCAACGGGGCACTTCCCTCAGCGGGACTGAATCCTTGCAACTAGGGGCCTCTGAAGAGGGAGCTTGGCAGGAGGGCTCATTCCAACATCGTTGGCGCGTCTTGGGCTTACACTGGTCCTCCTCCTCCTCCTCCTCCTCCTCCTCCTCCTCCCTCCTCCTCCTCCTCCTCCCTCCTCCTCCTCCTCCCTCCTCCTCCTCCTCCTCCTCCTCCTCCTCCTCCTCCCTCCTCCTCCTCCTCCTCCTCCGCCTCCTCCTCCGCCGCCTCCTCCTCCGCCTCCTCCCCCCCGCCTCCTCGACGACGACGCCGACGATCTGACGTCTCGCCCAAGTCGCACAGAAGGAAACGCTCCTTCGCCTCGGCCTCTGGGGCCCTTCTCTCTTGGGCCCCCGGGGGCCCTCCACGCGGGGAGGCGGCGCGCGAAGCCCAACAGCCCCGCCGGGGCGAGGGGCCGGGAGCTCTGGGGCCGCGGGCGGAGAACCTCCTAGGCCGGGCATGTCCCCCTACACGTCGGTCGGAAGGAGTAGGTAAAAGCATGAGGTAGGAAGGCGGATGAAGTGGATTGGGTCGAGGCCCTCCCAGAGAACAGCAAGACACAGCAAAAGCATGCCGATTCTTGAAGTAGGAAGGCGCTTGAAGTAGATTGGGATCTGGGAATCCAAAAATACCTACTTTCAACGACCGGCGTGTACAGGAGGATTTTGGACGATTTGCTTGTGACCCTGGGCGAAAAGCTCGAAGATAGTCAGCACAACCTCGAAACGCATCAAACAAAGAATCAGGGCATCGTTCCCGGACTATTTTTTGGGGACTGTTTTTGCAGATTCCTCCTGCGGAGAGGCACGCCCGACTGGAAGGAACATCCCATCGGCAGCTGTCTGGGCCCCCGGGAGGTGAGCAGGGGCCTGCGGGCGAAGGGCGGGGGCTCGCCGAGGGGCCGCCGATGACTCGCCGCAGGGCGTCAGGCCGCAAGGGCGTCCGAGATGGTCCAGGATGGCCCCAAGGGGAGGCAAGATAAATTTTCTTCCTTTTCAAGTAGAGGGCAACAAATCCACCCCCATAGTACCCACCCCGACACGCGAGGCCGTTTACGAAACGCCCCGGGCAGGGCTGTTTAGCAAACGCCCACAGCCTTTCAAAAAAACGCCAATTGTCCGGTCCGGGTGGTTTTTCCTCCCTTGGCCAAGGGCTCCGAGAGGCCCGTGCGTGCATAAGAATTCTGACTGCGGGCCACGCCCTAGGCGCCCTCGCGGGCCGCCGCCGCCGCCGCCGCCCGCTCGCCTCGCGCCGCCGCGCGCGATAACATTTATTTGTGCTCTTCAAAGGGCCCCGGGAGGCCCGCGCATGCAACGGGATTCAGCACGGGCAGTACGGACTACGCCCCGCCCGCGCCACACTCGCGCCACAGGCCCACCTCGCGGTTCGACGCCGCTGGCGTCCGCCCTCCGCGTGCGATCGCACTCTCCGCCAGGCGCGGATCACGGCGGCCCCATCGCAAGACGCGCCAACGCCGCCTACGGCTAGCCTGCACGGAGGCAGCCGAGGAGAGCAAACTCGATCCTGGCCGCCGCATCCGCACAGGCCGCATCCAGGCTCACTTCCGAGGGCCGCGGCCTCGGCTCGCCTGCTTCCTGCGGGTGGCCTCGAGCTTGGTCAGCCGGGCCTCCGCCGCATCCGCAGCAGCACGGCAGCGCCGCCGCTCCGCCCGGCGCCGCTCCAGTGCCCGCCGCGCGGCCTCGGCTTCGGCCTCGGCCGGCTCCACGAGCGCCGCCTGCCTGCGCAGCGCCTTCCCATAGGCCTCCCCCGAGCGGGGCACGGTCGCGCCTTCGGCCATCGGGGGAGGGGGGCAGCGCAGGGGCTCGCGAAGCCCCTCGGAGCCCACACACAGCCGCCTTCTGCTCCGAACCCTCCTGCTGGCGGCTCAGGAGCCCAGGGCGGCAGACCCTAGCCTGCGCGGTGGCGGCCTCAGCGGCCGACGGCCGAGCACGGGCCAGGGGCAGCGCCACCGCGCGCTGGACCGTCGTGCCAAGCGGAGCCGCGTCGGCCAGCGCCGTCGAGTCGACCGAGCCCTTCGAAATCGTGAAGTGTTTGACGGCGCCTTCCTGCTCCTTCTGCTTGGCCTCGCGCTCCTCGCAGAGAGTCGCCGCGCCGCCCACCAACACCTTCGCGCCATCCTCGATATTGGCCTTTTCGCCGCCGTCGAACTTGTCCTGCCGCTCCGAATCCTGCGGGACGCCCTCGGCCATCGCGACGATGCCCCCGAGCTCATGCTGCTTGCCGTCGAGCTCGTGGGACCTTTTGAGGTTATCGATATCCTCCATGTTACCATCCTCGAAGTGCGGCTCCTTGGGCATCCTGCACTTCGCGGGCGTCTCGCTCTTCACCTTCATCGTGACGGGGTTGTTGGTACCACCCTGCGCCACCTCCCCGATATCCGCCTTCATCGCCCGCGCGACCTCGCGCTCCTGCTGCTTGCCCTCGAACGCGTGGGGCTCTGCTAGGCTCGCGATATTATCCTTGTCGCCACCCTCGAAGTGCGGCTCCTTGAGCGTCCTGCACCTCTTGGGCGGGTCGCTTTTCACCTTCATCGTGATGGGGTTGCCGATGCCTTCCTGCACGACCTCCCCGATTACGGCCTTCACCTTCTCCCTGACGGGGTTGTCGATACCTTCCAGCACCTTCTCCCCGCACTCATCCTTGATCGCCATCGCGAGCTGGGCCTTGAGCTGCGCCACCTCGCTCGCGAGGATCGCCAGCACCTTCACCAACTTCGCACACTTACCACCGGACTCCTGCTCCGCCTTCTCCCCCAGCGCCTGCTGCATGAGCTCGGCGACCGGCCTGCCCTCCATCGCCGAGGCCGACCCGCTCTCCGTGGACCCCACGGCGGCGCCATCCTGAGCATCGGACTCCCCCGCCGTGTCCTGCACGTGCTGGCGCGCCCCCCTCTGCGAACACCGAGGGCCCAGGAGGGCCTCCCCGAGCAGCTCGCTCGGGAGGCCCGCTTCGCCCGGGCGCCAGGGCGGGCGCCGACGCGGCGGCGCGAGCGCGCCCGCCCGTCGGGACACTGCCCCCCGCTGCGCTGCAGCAGCGCCGGAGCCGGAGCCACCGCGGCAGGGCGCGCCGCAGGCTGCTCGACGCCGGCGTTCTCTGGCTTTGCGCAGGCGTTGGCGCTGGAGGGGGCAGGAGCGGAGCCCTTTTTTTGACTGCGAGGGTGCATGGAGGCGGGGAGAGGTGCCACGGTGCGCGCGGGGCGCGCCTAAGCCACTGGGCTAGGCTATGGAGAGGCACAGGGTGTGACTACCTACCAGACCACCCCAACCCAACCCGAAGACCCGAATTTCGGGTTGGGGGGGTAAGGGTTCCACATGTGTTTTTTCGATGTTTCCCGAACCCCCCCCCACTGGAAATCGAGGGTAAATCTGAGCCTTCGGGTTGGGTTGGGGTGGTTTGGTGGGTGGTGAGGGTGGGAGAGCACGGGAGGGAGACCGACGAGGGGGCTCGGAGGGAGCGGGGGGCACGGGCTGCGCCGAAGCCACGAAGCACCTGCAGGCCGCAGCGGCCGCCGCTGCCACCGCTTGGCGGCTGCCTCTGCCCTCGGCGGCGCCCGTGGCCGCCGCCCCGACGAGAGCAGCCTCCATACCACACCACTGAAACCTTCGATAAGGAATCCAGGGTCTGGAAGCCAGTGGAAGCCAATCGTGGATTGGCCATGGAAATCACCGCCGCCCTCATCAGATAAGGAACCCTCCAGGGTCTGAAGCCTCCTGGGCATGTTCCTTAACGAACGCCCCCGCTGTATGGCACAAGATCGCTTCCCCTCCGCCGCCGCCCCCCTCCCGCCGCCCGCTGCCCAGGTAGGTCTCGCGCGTGCTGCAGTCGCCTACCAAGGTCCTGCTGCCGCTCATGCACGCGGCCACGAAGATCTGCTATCTCGTCGTGAACCGGGTCGATGTCATCGGGAATGGCGGTTTTCATCCCGTCTCCAGCGACATCGCGCATCGACCTTTTATCGCTTTTGGTCGCAATCTCTGCCCTGATGTCTTTCAACAGTCATGGACATCTAGCCACAGCTCCAGAAAGTGGGCCGGCCGGAGGCCGTCACAGATCCTCCCAACACTTCTCGCTCCTACGCCCCACGCCCTCCTCTTCTCTCTCTTCCTTCTCCCGCCTCCTCCTCCTCCTCCTCCTCCTCCTTCTCCTCCTCCTCCTCCTCCTCCTCCTCCTCCTCCTCCTCCTCCTCCTCCTCCTGACTCCTCCACATCCTCCTCGCTCCTCCGCCTCCTCGCCCCTTCCGCCGCTCCTACGCCCCACGCCCTCTTCTTCCTCCTCTTCCTTCTCCCGCCTCCTCCTGGCTGCTCCTCCTCCTCCTCCTCCTCCTCCTGGCTCCTCCACGTCCTCCTCACTGCTCCGCCTCCTCGCCCCTCCCCTCCGCCCCCTCCTCCTCCTCCACCCATCCTCGCTCCTCCGCATCTCCTCGTTCTCGCTCCTCGTTTTCCTCTTCTTCCTCCTACCACCTCCTCCTCCCCTCCTCCCCTCCTCCTCCTACTCCTCCTCCTCCTCCTCCTCCTCACCTCCTCCTCCTCCTCCTCCTCCTCTCCCTCCTCCTCCTCCCCCCCCTCCTCCTCCTCCTCCTCCTACTCCTCCTCCTCCTCCTCCCCTCCTCCTCCTCCTCTCCCTCGCTCCTCCTCCTCCTCCTACCTCCTCTCCTCCTCCTCCTACCTCCCTCCTCCTCCTCCTCCTCCTCTTCCCCAGGGAGGGCGGATAGTCC